GTTACTTGTATTTTGTCCAGAATTTATATTTGTCTGTGTTAAAGGTATGTTCTTTCATAAGCTTACCATTTTGGAAGCAGAAGTTCATTTTATCATGGATTTAAAAATGTTTGGTATGTTCCAGTCCATTGCAGTTATCTTTATTGGCTTTAAGTGATTCCATCTTTAGCTAATAGGCATCTCTTTAGATTGACCTCTAAGTTCTTTTGCCATGATTCTAGTAGTTCTTATAGCTTCCTTGTTATCTGATAGAACAAGGTGCTGCAGGCTTACCTGGGCCAGACTTGGAATCATTCACTTCTCAGGAGTACATTTTTTGCTTAAAACAGGAAAAAATGGGGCTGTAGGAATAGCTCAACCACAGAGTATTTGCCTAGCACGTATGAGGCAGTGGGTTGAAACTACCACATCTAAACAACAAATCAAACAAGAAACAAAAGAAGAAATCATGATGGTAAATGTTTTATACTATTGTGAAAGACACCCTTTACACTTTCACTTAAGATACTTTTTCTCCATACCAACCAATCCTTGGATTTTAGCTGTGTGTCTTACAAAGTCAATTCACTCCTGACACTATGCCCAGAATGCATCAGATCCTATAAGTTAAAGGGTTTTAGTTCCTTTAACTGCTTCAGCCTCCAGTGCGAATTGCCAAGTCTGGGTTTCTTGTACTTTTAACTTACTGGTTATAAGTTGGGGGTTCTCACAATCCCTTATTTATTTGTTGATTGATTGATTGGTTGATTGTGGTGTTGAAGTTTGAACTCAGGGTTTTGTGTTTGCTAGGCAGGTGGCTCTGCCACTTAATTTATACTTCCAGCCCCTACAGCTAACCTCTTTGGGTTCAATAATTTTTTAGAATGGCTCATAGAACTTAAGGAAACACGTTACTTATGTTTACTGGCTCCTTATAGAGGAAATTATAAATGATACAGTTGGACGCCTGGAATCAAGTGATTCACCCTTATAGGCAGGAGGAACACTTAAGCCTGGCAGTTTAAGATCAACTTGGGCAACTATTATTTCAAAAAACACAAAACAACTCCCCCCCCCCAAATAAATGTGGTTCCAGGTCCGAAAGTGTCCTGAGTGTAAGAGCTCTTTGTGGAATGATATTCTCCTTACATTTGGTTCATTCACCAACCCAAAAAACAGAGCAAATCTATTGTTCAAGAATATTTATAGGGCTGGAGGTGTGGCTCAAGAGGTTGGTCGCCTGCCTAACAAGTGTGAAGTCCTAAATTCAAGCCCTCGTGCCACCAAGGGGGAAAAAACAAGCAAGCAGAAATGAAAGAAAGGAGAAAGAGGGAAAAAAAAACTATTTACAGACGTGAGCATGGTGGTGCACACCTTGGGAGGCAGATTCAGGAGATTACCAATTTAAGGCCAGCTTGGGCTACATAGTGAAACTTTGTCTCATGGTGAAAGAAGAATATTTATAGAGTTTGATTAATCCAGCTCCCATTTTACAGGCCAGAACATTGAGTGGAGCTAAAAAGTTCCAACTGCATAATTATTTGCTTTATCTGGTGACCAGTCCCATCCTGAAGCTACCTAGGGGCTCCTTCTTAAGTTAGCTCATTAGCATAAACTCAGTTGTGATTGGATCACTAGGGAAATACCCAGGGTTTTAAGATGATTTATGCCAGGAACTGGGGATAAATATCAAATATGGGTTTTTATTATGTAATACATACATTTGTAAAAAATTCCAAGATTACATCTTTTAAATAATAAGAGGAACCTTTCTTAGTCTGTAATATGTTTGCAATTATTATTTTCTTGTTTTTTTTTTTCTTTTGTGGGACTGGGGAATGAACTCAGGGCTTCTCATTTGCAAAGCAGGCATTCTGCCTCTTAAGTCATACCTCCAGTTCATTTTGCCCTAGTTATTTTTTGGAGATGGGGGTATCACAAACTATTTGTGTGGGCTGGCCTCCAGCCACAATCCTCCTGATCTCAGGCTCCCAAGTAGCTAGGATTTTAGGTTTGAGCCACTCAGCCCTGGCTTTTCTTGCTTTTTCTAATATGATGCTCCTAGTCAGTAAATTCTAATAATTCACTAGAGTATTAAATAGCCAGAGGTTTCTAAAGGTCAAAAGAGCATTTTGGTAAGCTGGATTCAGTAAATTTTTTTGGAAATTGATGCCAAAATTATAAAGATAAAAACAGTTGCATTCTTTCTTAGACATGCTTTAAAAGAGAGAGAACTGGGCTGGGGAGGTAGCTTAGTGATAGAGAACTTGCCCCTAATATGTGTGAGGCCCTGGGTTCAATCCCCAGCACTGCAGGGGAGGGAGGGGGGTGAGAGGGGAAAGAAAAAGAACCCTTTTGTATAGTTTTTTTATTTGTTAACTTGTTTTGGCCATTTCAAGTAGCAGTCGTTTTCCTTGATAAGTTGTGGTGAGATCTGGAATATGTGCTTTTTTGGGTCTCCTTATACTCTCTTGATTCCCTTTCACAGGATCTACTGTGTTCTTCTAACACCGTCTCTCACTTACTAAAATAAAAATGAGTAGTAAATTTTAATAGTGGCAAATGTAGCTAGCTGTAGCCTGCCTTATGAAACTGTGATGTCTGGTTGTTTGTATTGCTTAGCTGTAGCATCTAGAGCCTCATACTAAATCCTTCTTAACTGTACCTTCCATTTTTCTCTAAAAATTTTTTGTCCTTTATCTTTGGCATCAAGGTATATTCACAGTATTTTAGTTAGCTTTTAATGATGTATACCTGTAAAAATGTTATAAACAGAATGATGAACTTTAGAATAGAGGAAAGAAATCACTCATCTTACCATTCTCACTCATTTCAATCTTAATTAATACATGTTTGTTAAGTCTATAATACTTTTTTTGTTTGTTTGTTTTTTAGCACTCTACCAGTCTTTTTTTGTGATTTTTTTTTTTTTTTTTTTGAGATGGTACTCCTGATATTTACCTGAGACTGGCTTTGAATTGTGATCCTTCTGATCCCTGCCTCTTGACTAGCTAGGATTACAAGTGTGCGCCACCCGTGCCATGCTAGTCTATGATTTTTTTAAACTTGGTTAAAATCTTTGTGGATATTATACAGTTCATTTCTGATAGTTCTTAAATTCTATCCTTTGTTTAAGACATTTTGTGAGCCAGGCTTTGGTGGCTCATGCTTGTAATTATATTATACAGTTCATTTCTGATAGTTCTTAAATTCTATCCTTTGTTTAAGACATTTTGTGAGCCAGGCTTTGGTGGCTCATGCTTGTAATTCTAGCTACTTGAGAGGCTAAGATGGTGGCGGGAGAATTGAGGTTCGAGGCCACCCTGGGCAAATAGTTTGGTAGACCCTGTCTCCAAAATAATCAGAGTAAAATGGAATGGCAGTGTGGCTCAAACATTGTAGAGCACCTGCTTTGCAAGTGATGAGCCTGGGTTCAAACCCCAGCTCCCACCCCTCCCCCCACCAAAAACGGTTAACAACATTTCTTTTTTTCTAGGGTCTCCTGGTTTGCCCAGGGCTGGCCTTGGACTGAAATCTATTCCTGGGATTGCATGTGTACACCACTGTGCCTGGCTTATTTTTGAGACAGGGCCTCACTTACTTTTTGCTTGGGCTGGCCTTGAACCATGATCCTTCTGTTTCTGCCTTCTGAGTAGCTGGAATCAGAGTGGTCTAGTACCATGCCTGGCCAACTTTTGTAAGATTTTTATAGTTAAAAATGACCATAGAATTTTTGTACATAGATTTCTGATGTCTTGAAGTTAAAAGTATACAAATGATATAAAATGGCAGATAGGGTCCTTCCCTGTCCCCCACACTGGGACTGGGGTTTGAACTCAGGACTTCTTGCTTACAAAGCAGGTACTCTAATGCTTGAGCCACACCCCCAGTCCATTTTGCTCTGGTTATTTTGGAGATGGGGTGTGGTGAAATATCTGCCTGGGCTGGCCTCCAGCCATGATCCTTGAGTACCTAGAATTACAGGCATCAGCCACTGGAGCTCAGCTAATAAGAATTTTTTTGATCCTAGTTATTCTATACCTAATCATCGAAAAGCCCAGTCTATCTCTGACCATAGTCTTTTTAAATTTAATTTTTAAGCTAGCATGCATTAATAATACAAGGGGATTTCATTGTGATAATTCCATATGTGTATACAGTGTACTTTGAACAAATTTACCCTTTCCATTATATTTTCATTTACCCCCATAGTCTTGGTATTAGATTTAGTTATATTAGCATTTGTTTCTTTCCCAACTTTGTTTCTCTCCTGTGAAGGGAGGCTGGCTGTTGTATAGTTGAGAAACATGTTTTCTTTTGCATGCTGGGGATTGAACTGAGTGTGGCTTTTTGGTGTTTTTTTTTTTTTTTTTTTTCTTCCTTTTTTGGTGGTATTGGAGTCTGAACTCAGGGCCTCATGCTTGTCAGGCAGGCACTGTACCACTTGAGCTACTCTGCTGGCATTTTTTTTTTTTTTTTTTGAGGCAGGTTCTCTCAGCTCTCTTCTCCCTTCTCTCCCCTCCCCTTCTCTTCTCTCCTCTCCTCTCCGCTCCTGTATCCCAGGCTGGCCTGGAACTGCCTTCTGGCCTGGGATTACAGGCATGTACCACCATGGCCTTTTTTTTTTTTTTTTTAAAGGGGGCCTTGCTGTGTTGTTCAGGCTGTTCTCAAATTCCTAGGCTCAATTGAGCCTTATGCCTCAACTTCCCCAGTCATCTGTGACTATACTCACCATCATACCTATCTTTTTCCCCCCATAGTGTACAATTTAAAAATAGTAGCAGGAGTTTCAAAGTTAAAAATGGCTTTGAAAGAAGTTGTTAATCAGGTGGCAAGGAAAATTAATTGTCATTGAGAACAGTTATTTTGTGAGTGATGCTCTGGAATGTTCTTGGTGGCGAGTGGTGCACATGCTCTTATTCTCATTTTTTGTTAATTTGGAGTTGTAGAGAAGATGTGTTCTTTTGGTAATCTGAAAAAAAAATCTCTTCATTTCCTTTTCTTTTTTTTTTTTTAAATAGAGATGTGAACTGTGTCCCCATAAAGATGGAGCTTTAAAAAGAACAGATAATGGGGGTAAGTACAGAGATTAAAAAAAAAAAAAAAGTGCAATTGAAAACTGGATTGGTAGAGTATTTTTACACTGTTTGGTAGTTCATATTATTTTGACAAATTAAGTAGTGTTTACCACTCAAATATTAACGGTAGTGGACATAATTAACTAACTGATTGATGTCAAGATCTTGCTACGTAGCCCAAAATGGCCTCAAACTCATGATCCTCCTGCCTTGTCTCCCAATGTGTATACCACCACTCTGGCTTAGTTCATATTTTTATCAAGTTAAGTAGTATTTAGTTCTCAACTATTAGCAGTAGTGTATTTAATTAATTTATTTCTTTGAGACAAGTTCTCAGTATGTAGTCCAGGCTGGCCTCAAACTCAAAATCCTCCTGCTTCTGCCTTCTGAGTGCTGGGAGTAGAGGAGCCTAGCTTAATTTATTAATTTTTTTTATGTGGAAACAGTTTTTCTCTTGGCAGTTTAAACATTGGCTAGTTTATGTAGAATGAGCTACTCTAATTAAAATCTTAACTTTGTTGCGCTTTTTTTTTTTTTGAGATAGAGTTTCATTGTGTAGCCTAGGCTGGCCTTGATCTGATACTTCTACCTCAGCCTTCCAAGTGCTGGGCTTACATCATGCCGCACCACTCCTGGCTTGGTGCTCTTTTTAAAGGATTCTTGAGTGCTATAGGTTGAGCATTTCTTATCTGAAATGAGCCAAAATTCAAAACTTTTCAAGCATCAGTTTTTGATTTTGGAACATTTCAGATTTTGGATATTTGGATTAGAGATTAGCTCAATTGGTAAAAGTCTATACAAATGTTCTAAAATCTGAAACACCTCTAAAATCTGAAACACCTCTGTTTCCAAAGTATTTTGAATGAGGGATACTCATCCAGTATTCATTTCCAAGAATTCTGTATTTCTTTGTAGTTCAGTACCATTCTTATATATGTAGACATGAGCTTATTAAATCATAATATGCTATGAAAATGAAGGAACTGAGATGGAAACTTGTGATATGATAGCATTTTGCCTCTATTGAGATGATGATATAATTTTTCTTCATTATTCTGCTTAGGAGTTATATTGGTTCATTTTTGAAAGTTAAATTAACTGATTTTCCTATAATAAACTTAATTGTGGGGTTCAATTGGAATTTTGACATCTGTTTATGAGAGAAATTAAGCCATAGTTTTCTTATAGTTTCATCAGATTTTGGTATTAATTTTATGCTGGTCTTACAACAAGTATTCTCTCTCTTTTTGGTAGCATTTATGTAAGATTGGTATTATCCCTGCATGTTTGGTAGAATTCATAGGTAAATCCATGTCTGGAGTTTTTTATTTTTATTTCTTTTGGTTGCACTGGGGTTTGAACTCCAGGGTCTTGTACTTGCAAGTGCTTTACCACTTGAACTACACCCCTCACCCCTGTGTCTTGTGTTTTTTCATTTGAGTGTCTTTTTTTTTTTTTAAGTGGGCCTGGGATTTGAACTCAGTGCTTTGTGGTTGCAAAGCAGGCACTGTACCACTTGAGCTACAAGGTTCTAATTGTAGATTTTTTTTTAAAGTGATTAAAGAATTTTTAAAAATTTCTATTTTTAAAATTGTGATTGGTTTTGGTAAGTTACGGGTTTTGGCAATTCCTCCATTTTATCTAAATTTAAAATTTTATTGGCTAAACGTTCTTCATTTCTTCTTAATCTTTTAGATATAGTCATGTATTGCTTAGTGATGGCTGTAAATTCTGAGAAATGCTTCATCAGGTGATTTTTGTCAGTGTGTAAACATCATAGAGGGTACTTACCAAACTTTGATGGTATAGCTTACTACACACAGTTTATATGATACAGCCTATTATTCCTAGGCTTCTAACCTGTATTGCACATTACTGAACTGAGTATTGTAGGCAATTATAACATAGTGGTATTTGTGTTTCTAAACATAGTTAAAGGTACAATAAAAATATGATATAAAAGATAAAAGTGGAGGACTGGGTGCAGTGGCTCACATCGATAATCCCACTCAGGAGGCAGAAATTGGGAGGATTGTGGATTGTGACCAGCCTAGGTAAAAAAGTTCACAAGAACCCTATCTCATCCAATAAAATGGGTGTAGTGTGTGCAGCTATAATCCTAGCATCATAGTAGGCATATGTAGGAGGATCATGGTGTGAGGTCAGCCTGGGTAAAAACATGAGATCTTATCTGAAAACTAACATAAAGCAAACAGGACTGAAGGTATGGCTGAAGTGACAGAGTGCTGGGTCACCAGGAAGCGCAAGGCCCCTCGTTCTAACCCTAGCACCACAAAAAAGAAGTAGCACATCTGTGTAGGTGCTTAATGATGGGGCTTGTAGGGTGTAGAACTGGAAGTTACTGTGGATAAGTCAGCAAGTGAATGGTAATGTGTCCTTCAAGTTACTTCTGCACACTTCTGTTTTTCCTCCAGTGCTCCCATACTGGACAGTCTGAACCAGCTTGCCTTCGAGTTCGCTCACTCCCCTTCCCACCCACCTGCTTACATTTGCTGTCGACACTGTCTAGTGCAGTTTTTTGTTTTAGTTATTATTTTAGCTCCAAAATTGTTGCTTGGTTCACTATTATTTATTTATTTTAGTTAAAGTGATAGTAAAGTTCATTAAGAAAGGAATACACTTTTTTTTTTTTGGTGGTACTGGAGTTTGAACTCAGGGCCTCTTGCTTGCTAGTCAGGTGCTTTACCACTTGAGCCACCACCCCACCAGCCCTGTTGTAAATCTGGATATTTTCTATTCCTTTAACTATTAAGCCTTGTTTTGAGATACATTTAAGATTTTTGGAAAGTTTGATCACTTTGGGTCTTGTTTTTTGGATTTATTAGGTGGGTCTGGAATAGTGTTTTTCTCACTTCTGAGTCAAGACCTTCTTGAGTTTCCTATTCAATGCTCTGAGAGTTATGAATTTTTAAGTGGGATTGTGATTTGAACTCAGGGCTTTGTGCTTGCAAAGCAGGCACTATCACTTGAGCCGCACCTGTAGCGCAAGTTACAAATTTTTCAGTCTGGCTTGCGAGAATACGTGGTGTATCTGGTCCAAATGGGCCTGTTTGCTACTGTTCATCTCATCCTTTAGTAAAGGCCTGTTCCCATTCTCAGGTAATTTTCCCTCTCCCTCTCCCTCTCCCTCTCCCTCTCTCTCTCTCTCTCTCTCTCTCTCTTCTCTCTCTCTCTCTCTCTGTATATATGTATATACACACCTATATCTATCTATACCTATATATATCTATGCATATATCCATATATATAAATATATATCTATATTCATCATAGTACTGAGTACTTTGATGAATACTCAAATGGTAGCTTCTGCACATCTTGAGAGTTCTCTCTGTGTGATGGGCTCTCATTTTCAGTACCCTGTCCTGTCAGTTTTAGCTGTCTTGGTCTCACCAGAATCTTAGCTCCATTTCCTAGACACTGAGAATGTTCTGTGCCATGGCCTGAGAAACTTCTCAAGACAGTAAGCTGGGACAAATTTAAGGCTTACTGAATTTATTTCCCATCTTTGTGGGCTTGTCCTTCACTACCTGATATCCAGGGTCATGAAAATCATTGTCTCAAGTGTTTTGTCCATCTTTTGAAGTGGAGTATGTGAATTGTTTCATGGGGGAAGCCAAACTGGTCCCTGTAATTTCCATCTTGGACAGAAGTAAGTCTCCTCCTGTTTCTTCTTACTTTTGGTTTTCCCTTTTGCAGTTTTACTTCTTTCTCTCCCTTTGTGATTTTTTTTTTTGGTGGAAAACGTTTATCTTGTTGGGGAATTTGCTACATCACCACTGCACCACAACGGAGCCATTAATCTTGTAGCTTTGTCAACATTAACTGGTTCATTCTCATGATGCTGCTGAGAAATCAGCTCTTTCTGCAGAGGTTTAAGAGAAAAGTCTTTTGGGAAGTGCACCATTTCCTTCTGTATGTTTACAAAAGCCTTAATTATTCTTAACATTTTTTTTAATCATTCATAATGCTTATATTCTCAAGATGAGTAGTAACTGATTTTGCTTTGCTTTGTTTTTAACCTTAAAGTTTGTTTTGTTTTGTTTTTTTGGCTCTCTATGTGAAATGTATTCCTGGACTTCTGCCCTCTTAATTTGTTCTCAGGTATTGTCTTCAATACCTGGGTACAGCTACTCAAGTTGCAGTTGACGTTATCTGCTCTTAGAATTGAATAGAGGGCCTTGCATATGCTAGGCAAGTGTTCTGCCATTGTGATACATTCTCAGATCTTTTAATTTAATTAAAAAGGTTTTTGAGTTTTTTTTGTTCTGAGACAAGGTATCCCTGTGTTGTCCATGCTGGCCTTGAATTTGGATCCTCTTGCCTCAGCCTCCCCAGTAGCTGGGATTACAGTCTTGCATCACCAGGCCTGGCTTAGTACTACATTTTATCACTTTAATAATGCAAGTAATTACTGTTGCATTTGAATTAAATTTCTTTAAATTGCATGTGTACTATGTGACATATACACATAGTTATTTATGTAATGGATGATCTAAGGATTACAATTTTCATACCAATAAGTTCAGTCTACTGTATGTACACTTTATATAAAATGTGGAATGAAACCCTATAACTACTTTTTTTGCCTTGTTCCTTCTTCAGTCTTTTTTTGGGGAGTGAGGGTGGGGTTTCTGGAGTTTGAACTCAGGATCTCACGCTTGCTAGGCAGGTACTCTACCACTTGAGCCACTCTGCGGGCCCTTTTTTGTGTTGGGTATTTTCAAGATAGGGTCTCTCCTGGACTGGCTTTGCATTGTGATCTTCCTGATCTCTGCCTCCCTAGTAACTAGGATTACAGGTGTGAGCTACTGATGCCTGGCTTAGTTTGTTCTTAATCTTAGTTTGTAATCCTTCAGTGTATAATTGAAAGGAGGTGAAGGGTTTACTATTTCCTTTTCTCCCTTAGTTGTATCTGCCTTCTTTGACTTTCATCCTTTTCTAGTTTTAGAGTAACTTTTCACTGTTTCATTAGCTCTTAATGCTTTCAGTTACATTTTAACAATTAAAGGAAACACTAATATTTATATCAATTGCTAAAATGTTTTGAGTGAAAACTTAAAATAGTAAAATAATGAATGCTGATACTAAATTCAAAATATTGACAGCAATATAAAAGTTAAAGCTGGTGCTGGAAGCTCTTGCCTGTTATCCTAGCTCCTTGGGAGGCTGAGATCAGGAGGATCCTGGTTTGAGGCCAGCCTGGGCAAAAAAGTTCACAAGACCCCATTCTCAGTCAAAAGCTGGGCAAGGTGGTGTACACCTGTCATCTCAGTTATGCAGGAGGCTGAGATTGGGAGGATGGTGGTTTCGGACCAGCCTGAGCAAAAAATGATCTGGAGACCCAATCTCAACAGGAAAAAACAGGTCATGCTGAGTGCACCTGTCATACTAACTATGGTGGCAGACTGCCCAGGCTGGCCAGTACAGAAATCAAGACCTCATCTCCAAAATAACCAGAGCAAAAATGACTAGAGGTGTGGCCCAAGTAGTTGAGCACTTGCCTAGCAAGCGCAAAGCCCCAAGCCCCAAGTTCAAACACAGTATCACACAAGAAGTAAACATTTAGTATTATTAAGATTGAAAGTATTAAGTCAGGAACTTGTGGCTCATGTCAGTAATCCTAGCTACTTAAGAGGCTGAGACCTGGAGAATCATGGTTCGAGGCAGCCTGGACAATTAGTTCACAAGACCTCATGTCCAAAAATAACCAAAATAAAATCAACTGGAGGTGTGGCTTGCAAAGTTAGCAAGACTCTTACCCAAAAACAAAATACAAACAAAAGGACTGGGAGGGCTCAGGTGGTAGAGTAGCATGCTTAGCTTCAACATGCCTTGATTTAGTGTCAGCATTTGAATTTGTAAATGTTCCCTTTATTTAAGTTACTGTGCATATTAACTGGAGAGATGATGAAGGACGCTTTGTCAGCAGTGGTTTGACTTTGTGCAGAATGTCTTTATTGTGCAGTTGCTCAAATAGCCATCTTAAGAGGATCTTTTCAGAAAGGCAGGAATATTTTTGATAAAATTTTAAAGAATGACTTTATTTTTATTTATTTACTTTCAGGTTGGGCTCATGTGGTTTGTGCCCTGTATATTCCAGAAGTACAATTTGCCAATGTTTCTACAATGGAACCAATCGTTTTACAGTCTGTTCCACATGATCGTTATAATAAGGTAAAGTGAACATTATTTTATTACTATTTGAATATATTTTTATTCTGTAACTAGGAGAGGGACAGGAGTTTTATTTTTTTTTTAATATCTAAGATCATGGAATACAAAACTCATAAAGTTGTGCCTGCCACCTTTTATTCTAATGTAGGCATGTATTATTTTAATGTTTACTGGACTTTTAATCCATACACATTTGACCTTTTGCTTTTTCAGGTATTAAGGTTTTATTAGACTTGAAATAATTATTATTTAGCATAACATTCATTATTATATCATACACTCTTTCTTGGATAGTAATTCTGTGTCAGAAAGTTATATAACTCCCCTCAAAGTTATACCTCAAGGTACGATTTTTATTTTTAATCCTTTAAATCAAAAATCACTTTACCTGAGTGTGGTGGTGCCCACCTGTAGTCTTAGGTTCATGGGAGGGGTTAGGCACGATGATAGCTTGAGTTCATTTGTTCAGGACCACTGTGGGTTAACAGGTGAGACCCTCTATCTTTAAAGAGAAGAAGAAGAAAAGAAAAAGTACTCATAAGCCTTTAATATTTACTTTTAAAAAATTTTTTCCTAATTATCTACATTATTGTTTCATGTTGTTCTGCTTTGTTGAAGGTTTTTCTGTTACCCAGTGTGCCTTTAAAGGGCAAAATTTAAATGGAGGTACATGTTTGTCTGTGGTAGACTGTTGTTGTGGTCAATTTTGAGGTTTCAGATATTTTAATGTTAAAACCTTTTATTATGTAATATTTATTGACATTGAAAATGATGAGAATTAAGTAGAAAAATATGTCAAAAACCTATTTAAATTTTCCGATTCAGATTCTTCTAGATATTCTTCTGAACTTTTTTTTTTGGAGGACTGAAGTTTGAACTCAAGGCCTCATGCTTGCTAGGCTGGTGCTCTGTTGTTTGAGCCACTCCACCAGCCCCTTTTTGTGATTGGCTTTTTCAGGATAGGGTCTTGGGTACTATTTGCCTAGGGATGACTTCAAACCACGATCCTCCTAATCTCTGCCTTCCGAATAGCTAGGATTACAGGCTTGAGCCATCAGTGCTTGGCTTTTGCTGTACATATTTGCCTGTAATATGTAAACATTTGGATCATACTATTTATAGTGTTTTGTTCCCTTTTGTAGTTTATTACTTCTGAACACTTTTTGTCAATAAATGATATTTCTGCTATATTTTTTAATGGAGATTTAGTCTTTAGACAGTCTTTAGATTCAATAAACAATAATCAAACAACCTGTCATTTTTGTTTTGTTTTGTTTTGTTTTGTTTTTTGTAGCCCAAGCTGACCTCGAACTCACCCAGACCTAGTATTGAAGGGCCTGGTTTGGTGTCTGGCATTTTGTTTACACCATTAGAATTTGAGTGAAAGGATGTGAATACTTTGGAAGCTTCCATATGTTATGTGAGATTGTCCTGTAGAATGCAGTTACAAGCTCACATTACATAAGCAGTGTGTGAAATTGCTCATAACTGCATAGCATGTTAAGTCACTCTGTATGTTACTATTGAAAATGCTATTCTTTTTAGTGAAAAATATTAGTAATTATTTTTAAGAGTTTTGCAGCTGTGGGATTTGAACTTAGGGCCTTGTGCTTTTAAGGCAGGTGCTCTACCGTGTAGTGGGGATGACAGGTATGGGCTACCATGCCCAGCTTTTTTGTTGGTGGGGCCTTGCTAATTTTTTTTTACCCGAGTTGGTCTTTAACCTTGATCCCTCCAACCTCTGCCTCCTGTATAGCTGGGATTACGGGCATGCATTATCATATCTGGCTATTTTTAAGTTCTTTGTAGAGGTTTTTAATGTTTGTTAATTGACATTGCATATTTATTTATGCTATATTATGACTTTACTCAGTGTGTTTACATCAGAGACAATATTCTTTTGTCTTATATATTTGCTGTGTATGTTTTTGTCCAAAATTTAACATCTGCTTTTCATTGTTATTGTTGTGGTTTTTGTGGTGCTTGGGATTGCACCCATACTGTGCACACTAGGGAAGCACTCTTTCACTGAACTATACCACTAACCCCTAACATTTACATTTTCACTTTCATTTTGTCCTCATGGTTTTTGTTGGTATTGCAGCAGGTTAATTATTTTTCTAGTACAGAAGTGTAAAATTTTAGTGTAATTTTTACATTTGCTCTTTGTTGTTTCTGCTTTTGATGCTGTGCAAAGAAAGTCCTTTATGCTAGTATATTTTTTAGTACTAAGTTTTATTTTTAAAAGTACTTTTCTTTTTTAGAACTTCAGCCTCTAGCACCACAAAAAATTTAAAAAAATGAGGCATTCTCTTATACAATTCTAATATAAGCATCAAAATCAGGAAATTAGCAATGATATATTGTTACTGTTTGATCTACTGATAGCATTCATGACCATAAATTGCATTTTGTCTCTTTGGTCTCTTAATTTCAAATAATATCTTAATCTTTCCTTGATTTTCATAATTTTGATACATTTGAATATTGTCCATTTATTCTGTATACTTTCCCCTTATTTGGATTTGTCTGATGTTTCCTCATGATGAGATGTAGATTATATGTTTTTGATAGAAATACCACACAAGTGATTCTGTGTTCTTTTTGTTGCATTATCAGGTGATACATGATTTCATTTTTTCCTGTTATGTTACTTTGATCACTTGATTAAGGTTGTGTCTGTCAGGTTTTTCCACTTTCAGATTGATGTTTTCTCTCTTTATAGTCAATAAGCATTTTGTGGGGAAGTAATTTGTATGTATCTTGTTTCTTACTCTTTTTCCTGTACTCACTAATTTTAGCATCCATTGGTATTTTGTGGCTTAATTAATTTATTGCTATGATTGATGGTTTTCTAATTCTGTAATTTCTGGTTTTTTTTTTGCTGTACTGGGGTTTGAACTCAGGACCTACACTTTGAGCTGCTTTACCAGCCCTTTTTTGTGATGGGTGTTTTTGAGATAGGGTTTCATAAACTTTTTACCAGAGCTGACCTTGAATCGTGATCCTCTTGATCTCTACCTCCTGAGTAGCTAGGATTATAGGTGTGGGCCACTAGTGCCTGGCTTCTAATTCTGTAATTTCTTTACATTTATCAGTTAACATTCTATTATAAAGAAAAAAACTTTCTTTACTCCCTGATTATAGTATGGAGTTATGTGTTAATATTTTATTTTAATGCCTCATACTCCATTACTGTCATTTATTTTTATGTTCATGCTATCTGAGACTTGGCTGGTAGGGACTCTTTAAACTGACTTCTGTGTCTCTTGACATGTTTTTATCATGCTGTGAGCATTTCCTTACCTCTGACAAAACAATATATTTGTGACTCATTTTGTATCATTCTGTTCTAGCTCTGGAATTACTATTTCTCCAAGGAGGTTTTTTTTTTTTTTTTGGCAGTACTGGGGCTTGAACTCGGGCCTGCACCTTGAGTCACTCCACCAGGCCCTTTTTGTGAAGGGTTTTTTTCGAGATTTTCCCAGTCTAGTTTCAAATCATGATCCTCATGATTTTTGCTCCCCGAGTATCTAGGATTATAGGCATAAGCCACTGGCACTGGCATCTCCAAGGAATTTTTAATTCCCTTTAGATGAGAATGATATTTAGAAACCAAAGTGGGCACTAATTGTGCTCATTGTTCTGAGGATATTGCTCATCTCAGGCCCTCTCAGTTGGTATAGTTAGGAAATAAATGCCTATAGAGAGACTTAAATTTACCTATGTTGACATGCATACTGTTTCTGTATTTATGTATGTTGAAAACAGGTCACAGTGATATTTCTTATGAAATATATGGATATACATACATATGTAACATACATTTCTGTGTGTATTTCTGGATCCATCTCTATATATTGAGGTAGATAAACTTACAGTGGTGTATCCGAATCTTATCCAACAACACTGGGTTCATTTGAAGTTTTTTTTTTCGTATCTGTGATTCATTTCGGATGTAAAGATACCTGACTTTCATTATCCTCAATGACTTACTTTTTTGATCAATCTCTCCTATATTGACAAATCTTCTGTCACTATCACTGTTCAATTGCTCTGACATCCCACCCATCCCTAACCCTGCCTTCCTTATGGGAACAAGTCCAGTTCAGGCTGTGACACTGGTTTTGGACTGTTCCCCCGTGCGCCCCCCCCCCAACATGGCTTTAAGATTAGATTAAAGTATTCAAAGAAGAAGGGACAGAGGACGTAAAAAAGAATTAAATTACTTTTTAAATCTTTAATCCATCTAGAATTAGTTTTAAAATATGGTGAGATGTGTGTCTTAACTTTTTCCCTGCTGGTTAGTCAGTTTTTAAAAAAACACTATTAGAGAATAATCTATGTTTTCCATAGTGATTTGAAATACTGTTGGGATCATTCCTAAATTTTTGTGTATACATAACTGTACTTTGTACTTTGCTTTTTGTGTTCCATTGATGTGTCTTGTTTTAGTCTAGTTTCACACTATTTTAAATTATTATGATTTTATATGTTTATTAGTAAATACATTTTTCTAGATGAACATTAAAATTAACAATGCAGTTTTGGGTATCCTGGAGTTATAGTGAAATACCTTTTTTTTTTTGTGGTTATCAAAATATTTTTTTTTTTCTTATTCATATGTGCATACAAGGCTTGGTTCATTTCTCCCCCCTGCCCCCACCCCCTCCCTTACCACCCACTCCGCCCCTCCCCCCCCCACCCCGGAATACCCAGCAGAAACTATTTTGTCCTTATTTCTAATTTTGTTGTAGAGAGAGTATAAGCAATAATAGGAAGGAACAAGGGGTTTTGCTGGTTGAGATAAGGATAGCTATACAGGGCATTGACTCACATTGATTTCCTGTGCGTGGGTGTTACCTTCTAGGTTAATTCTTTTTGATCTAACCTTTTCTCTAGTTCCGGTTCCCCTTTTCCTATTGGCCTCAGTTGCTTTTAAGGTATCTGCTTTAGTTTCTCTGCTTAAGGGCAACAAATGCTAGCTAATTTTTTAGGTG